TATCATATATAAACTGACATGATGATGAATCATGTAACTGCCCTTTCAGTATTCCAGGATCCACATCCTGCACAGCATCCTCAGTTTCCTGCAGCCTTGCAGGACAGATCCCCAGGCAGTGCAGCCAGGAAAATTTGGTTCCAGGCTCTGGCTGCAGAAACACCTCCAGGAGGCTCTTGGGGGACACAAGGCAGGTCTGTGGATGGACTTTGGTTGCACAGGGGATCTGAGAACAGGATGCCTTGGCAAGAGCAAACAGAGCTTTGAGAATTAAATCGAGATTGCAAGAAGTTCAAATCAGACAGATTGACTGGAAAAAGAAAATGACATCAGACTTCTGCAAGCTAGACATGTTTAAAATGTATAAACTGGCTTATGTTTACCCAATAATTGTAGTAGAACATTAGCAGGCTCCCTAAATAGTGTATAAGAATTGTACTCCAGAATAAATTTGGATTCAGTGAGCAGCACACTGAGTCTGTCTCTCCTCACTGACAGCCCAGCTCGCCCCAGCAGGCACAGCCTGCATCCCTCAGGCCTTTATCGCAGACAAGCTGATGGGCTGTCCTGAAATAAAGGACAAATTCACTTTTCATGGGCTCTCCTGAAATAAAGGGCAAATTCACTTTCATGGGCTGTCCTGAAATAAAGGGCAAATTCACTTTTCATGGGCTGTCCTGAAATAAAGGGCAAATTCACTTTCATGGGCTGCGCAACTTGCCCTGTTCCAAACCCAGTAAACTGGTGCCATGAAATGGGAACTGTAGCTCCATCTCATTTTAAAATGTACCAACAGAGGGAGATGCTCCACCATAACAATCCATTCCTTCACAGTTCCTTCTCTTTTCCCTTCTAGAAACGAGAATTTAAACTGGACAGAAACAAGTCATTGTTGTCCTATTCTAAGGTGTAATACAACACAACGGGTTCTGTGGTTTCAGCAGAATTTCCTAAAAAAAACCCAACTGACTGAACTAGTTGAAACAAAATGTTTACTGTACATAATTGTTTATAAATATGCAACAGGCTCATGTAATAGAAAAGGTATTTAAGGGGTATCCCCAAAAATAACTGTGTGCTCTTGGCTGAGTGCAAAGATGCTCCCGGCCATAACAACTTTACTCTATAATCCTTATCTCCTATTGTCTCCTTAATCTCCTATCAAAAAGTTTATTTAACTTTTAAATTTTCCCAAAAAAGTGAATGTGGTTTTCACAGGTGCTGCTGTGGCTGTCCTTGTCACTCCTTCTCTGGAATAAACCCTCTGCTGGGTCTGCAGAGGACAGAAGAAGGGTCATCTTCTGGGGCTGCTCCTTAGCTGGGGAAATCCCACAGAGAGAAAGCTGAAGGATAAATGCACAGAGGAAAAACTCAAGGATAAATGGACAGAGAAAAAGCTGAAGGATAAATGGATAGAGGAACAGCTCAAGGATAAATGCACAGAGGAAAAGCTGAGGGATAAATGGACAGAGAAAAAGCTGAAGGACAAAGGCACAGATGAAAAGCTCAAGGATAAATGGATAGAGGAAAAGCTGAAGGATAAATGGATAGAGAAAAAGCTCAAGGATAAATAGACAGAGAAAAAGCTGAAGGGTAAAGGAACAGAGAAAAAGCTCAAGGATAAATGGATAGAGAAAAAGCTCAAGGATAAATGCACAGACGAAAAGCTCAAGGATAAAAGGATAGAGAAAAAGCTTAAGGATAAATGGACAGAGAAAAAGCTCAAGGATAAATACAGAGGAAAAGCTCAAGGATAAATGGACAGAGGAAAAGCTCAAGGATAAGGGAAGAGAGGAACAGCTTAAGGATAAATGCACAGAGGAAAAGCTGAAGGAAAAATGGACAGAGGAACAGCTCAAGGATAAATGCACAGAGGAACAGCTCAAGGATAAATGCACAGAGGAAAAGCTCAAGGATAATTCCCTGCCTCCCTACGGGAGCGCTCCTCGCCAGCCCCACCTCCATGCGTGCCATCCTCCCCGTGCCTTTCCCAGCGCCGGGCCGCAGGGATGTTGACTTTGCGGAGGTTATTGCCTTGGCGGAGGTGAAAGGTGCTGCCCCCGCACCAAACGGGGCTCGGCAGGCGGGGCCCCGCTGTTGTTTCACAGCGAGTGTGGGAAGATGCTGCGGCCCCGGCCCCCGCTGCGGCGCCGAGTGACGGCGGCAGCTGCGGAGCCCCGCGGGATCCCGGGGCGGGCAGGACCGGGAATCTCCTGTTCCCACCGCTGGCATGGAGCACGGCAGCGAGAGCTGCCCCGGGGATGTGGGCGGTGGGGAAGACAACCAACATAACCGAGAAGCAAGCTCCGATACCTTATCTTCCATGGGGTATTCTACAGGCATGGTCAGCGGTAAGCTCTGACTGGTTAATTTACAAAGGGCTTTGTTTTCTTCTCCTACATGCGGTTACAGATGTAGCTAAGTTCTCCAAGCCATGTTTGTCATCTCTAAGCCATGCCTTCCAAGGACAGAGCATATATTCAAGGCTATGCCTGTCCTTATTATCTCGTTCCCAGACCTTGTACCACTATGCAATTTCCCAGGCCTGGAAACAGAGACTGGTTCCCAAGCTGTGTTTCCCAAGTCAGACACAGCCTGATTCTGGGGTCTTAGACAGAGGTTTTTTGGAACAGGTATTCCATAGAATCATGGCCTTGTTCTAACAACCATTCCCCAACACCCCAGAGATCACGGCCCCAGCGGTTTCACCTGAAAGGAGACGATGTGGGAATCCCTGCTGGGGATCTAAAGCTGATCCGGACCCAAGTGGGTTTGGGACTAAGGGACAATCCTCCTTTCTTCTGTCCCTGTGTGAAAAACGCCAAACAGTAGGTTTTTAAAATTTTAATAATAATAAAATGGTTATAAAAATAGCAATATAATCACAGTAATAAAGTTTAGAGTTAGGACAATTACAAGACAATAAAAAGCAAAGAATTACAGATGTCCGGATGCTCTTGGACACTAAAAGTATACTTTGTGAACAAAGGAATAACTTTAAAAGCAATAGCCCATTGTATATTCATATATCTCATACATGATGCATAAATTCTTTGCAAATTAAGAACTTTTTTGGTTTTTGTCAGCTTCTTCTCCTTAATCTTGTTGGTTCTATAAAGACAGAGAGAAGGTAGAAGAATGTTTGTCTTTTCTGATAAGGAAGCTGTAATTTTTTATGGGCCCCCTTCACTACATCTCTGTCAGAAGAGTTTCTTGATTATTTCATCTTCTTGCTTGAGCTTGTAACAAATCCTATATTGTAGAGTTTCTATTTTAACATTATGTTGTAACCTAAAGCTACATTTAACATACGACGTACGAGAATTAATACAGCATAACTTTTTAACATTACACATATAATATTTATTGTAACATTTGCGAAAAGTTAATCATAAAATATGCATTTTTCACACCTGCAAGGACAAATGTTTGCTAATTAGAGAGATCTTTTTGTAGACTGAAGGCAGAACTGGAAAACGTGAATTCATGCAAATTCTGAGTGACCCATGTAAGTGAAGTGTTATACATATGACAACACACACACACACACACAATAGAGAATATAAATTAAATATTCTGCATTGGCAAAACCTTCTGGACTCTGACTTAGATTCTGCCAGTGCCTGAAACATGTGCAGCATTCACAAATTCCTCAAAACCTTTCAGAAAAAGAGTCTGAGGGTCTTCCTCCTGCCTGTGAGTATGAAATGCTTTTAAATGTTTACTATTTAATGCAGCAAAGCAACAGATTTAAGTGTTTAGGTGAGTTCTTCCTAGAGAATGAATTAGCTATCAGATATTGAGTATTTTGCATGAAAAATTAGATTCCTGTGAGAGAAAGGAATTTGATGTTCCTGTTCAAGAGGATCGAAATGAAAATAATTTTATTTCCTGGAAAAAGGCCAAGTCTAAAAACCAACAGATATAACAGCATAAACACATTCCCCACCTCACCCAGATTCCATTAAATTTAACAATTCTGAACTATACAAAACCAAAAATAACTTCAGTATCACTTCAGCTCTTGTGAAAAGTGAAGACCTCATGTCTGTTAAATCCCTGTGCCCCTGAGACAGCACAAAACCCAGCAGCAGTGGTGGGAGAAGGGAAAGAGGCACACACAACGTGGAGCAAGGCCTGGGGAAGTGTTTGAAATGGTTGCAAGCAGATTCTGGAAACATGGAACACATGCATACCTTAATTGTCATTAAAAATATGAATAACCCTGGCATAGCAGCGTTTGGGGCATCCTCAGCTGCCACACTTCTGGGAAAAGGGGATTGAGAACAGATTCCCTGTTAAGGTCTTTTCAGCTGGGATGGCTCCAGGGTCTAAAAAAAAATCTGCTTTCTGTTAGGAAAAACTATAAAATGTTCAACAAAAGATGAAAAACATGTCTTTCATTGGCATAAAATCAGGACATTTCCTTGCAGGAGGGTGAATTGAAAATTCCCTAGAAAGTAGAATACAGAAAGAATAACTGCCACTGGCAGCAGATTCCAACCCTCAGCAAATACATGTGTTACAAATCTAACAAAACAAACAAACATCACTCAAAGCTTTGCATGTGTGTACAAGCCAGGTTTAATAATTTTTTTCGACCTTAGGATTGGGCCTTAAATTATATATAATTAGTGAAGTCCTTTCTTACTTCTATTTCCCACTTTAGTTCTTGAAATTTGGTGTCTATTGAATCCTGTTTTAGGGCTTTTTCTAAACCCAAGACAGAGAATTTTGTTAACAGTGCAATAAAAATAACTTCATAGTGTTACAAGGAAACATTAAAGACTTTTTTTTGTGTGCTGCTCTTTTCCTTGAAAAAAAAAAATACAGACATTGTTTCTTTAAAAGGCTCCATCTGCAAATCCCATTAGATGTGCATATAAGGTTTCAGATGATTAATAGCTGCCTGCTTTGCTTTGGTTGGAGGGGCTGAGGGTATGTGTGTTAACCCCTCCCTCCCCTCGCTCACATTTCACTTCACAAACTTGTCACTGTCCCCCCAGCACAGTATTTAAAAAGTGTTTCCCTCATGCCCAGCACTTCACAAGGAAGCAGCTCATGGCATAATTCTGGTTGCCCCAGTCAGGGCAATGAAGACCTTTAGAACCAGAGTTGCTAAAGCAGCAAAACTGCAGCAGCATCAAACCCACAAGCAAACTGCTGTTTAGGGAGGTGATCTATAAAATTCGGAAGAGTTTCCCTCTGCTTCTCTTCTGCCTCTGGAGGCTGATCACAGCAGGCAGGAGCCCCGAGGTGTGGACAGGAGTGGGAGCAGATGGATCCCAGCAGCAGCAGCTGCATGCGCAGCCCGCAGCCCCCCACCCTGCTCTGGGGCTGTGTGAGGAGCTCCCACTCCGACCTGAGCGCAGCTCCAGGGCTCAGCCACTATCCAGCAGCACCGTTCTCCTTCCAGCAAAAAGCAGATTTTGCTGCTTACTCCGATTTCTCAGCCTCCTGCCTGGTGACAGCTCCGCACAGCTTCCCCCAGGAGCAGCACCCCTCATTCCAGCAGCCCGAGTGGCACCTGGCAGCACCCGAGGCCACAGCAGGAGGAAAGGCAGGACTGGCCTTGGCTTCTGGAGAGGCAGAGGGCAGCAGCCCCAGCCTAGTGAGTCTGCCTGTGGCTGTGGAGGAAGATGATGAGGCAGCAGCAAATCCTACAAGCGACTCTGAGAAAAAGCCATCCAGAAGGAAAAAGGAAAGCTCAGGTAGGTGATATGAAATCAGGGTTGTGGTAGAGTGCAGGAGATGGAGTGAGAACACCTGGTGAGACTGGGACTTAAAAAAGAAAGCTGCTGAGCAAAATATTTCATAATATTTGACTGGGGAAACTTTAGATGGTAACAGCACTGTTACTGTCTTATTCTTACTCTTATTCTTATTCTTACTCTTACTATTACTCCTATTCTTATTCTTATTCTTATTCTTATTCTTATTCTTATTCTTATTCTTATTCTCTTTGTATTTCACTCCTGCAGATCTTGGGTACTGAACTAGGTGTTTTACTCACCAGCACAATGCACATTTGCTGTAACTGAGCAGGAGTCACATGGCATGTGCACATAGAACTGAAAGTCCTAGGATGTGGAGTTATACATTCACATTTGTCTGAGCAAAAGAGAATGGCAGAGCGCAAGGATCCCTCACCTTGAGCTGCCTGTGCTGGTAGGGAATGTCATATTAGGAATTTGACATCTCAGTTTATGGTAAGAAGTACAAGAGGCAAAGTCTTCCTTTAAATATAAATTCTGTTCGGTCTCACTAAATGTCAAATATTTTAACCTCAGAACAGGAGGTTCTAAAAGTTTGCCCATCAGTAAAATGCCCAACAACGCAGAAAATGTACATGGTTTTCATTGTGTCATCCTAGCTAGCAAAAAAATTCTTTCTACAGTGTAAAAATCAATAATTTCATAATTGGGGATGCAGACTGGTGGAACTGCCCCTTGGAAAGGGAATCTGTCCCACGGGGCTGTGCTGAGCTCCCATGTACTTTGCACTGGCCGCTTGTTCATAGTTTCTGCCGTGTGCTGAAGGCTTGGAGAGCTGCTGCACCCTCCACGTGTCCCTGAGGGCAGCAGACACCCCAGGGGAGGCTTTGAGTTCAAGGCTCCCAGGAGCTGGTGGCAAAGTTCCCAGCAAGAGATGCACACTTCAAATCCTGCTTCCCCCTGCTCCCTCCCAAGTCACACTTGTGAAATGTGATAGTGTGTCTGTGCAGTACAAAGGGGATTGTTCAACCGAGGGCAAAAACATGGGCAGAAACTTGTCAAGTTTTGTTCCTGTACATTCCCCATCTCTTTTTGTGGGTTTCTGAAGTAGCAAAAGCAGCATGGAACAAACCAGACTAATTCCCTGGGAGTGGAAAGCAGTCCAGTGCAGCGTGTGCCACACTGCTCCCTTGTGCATTACCAGACCTGTGTTTGGTTTCTCCTTTTCTGATGGGCACAGATAAGGTCAGATCAGTCACAAAACCTCACAGATTTCTCCAGTTTTACTACTTTGGCCACCAAAATTACACCTAGAAGATGAAGCTGCACATTGTGCTCATATTGTTACCATTTTTCTTATCATTTCTGCGTAGAAATATTATTCTAGGACACACAGAGCTGCGTTGTGTACTGGTTACACACAAAAATTAAGTAACTAATTCTCAGCATAAAAAAAACACTACTACCATGTTTAGTTCAGGGAATCTAGCAGAAGGAGGAAGAGGGGAGAAAGAGTCAAAGAACTCACAAAACTGACTCCCTGAAACACTGGCAGTTTGAACTTTGCTCACTAAAAGAAATGCATTTTTTCCTTGCATTGCTTGGAGATTCTTTGAGCACCAATTTTTAAAATGCAGGAGAAAAGAAAACAAAATAAAAAGAATAAAAAGAAAAAAAAAAAGAAAAGGAAAAGGAAAATATTTTTAAAAATGAAAAAAAGGGATGCCACAGTCTCAGGCAAAGTCAGTTTGTGTTTGCTTATTATCATAATTGGTACAGCATCACTTTGGCTATGGCTTGAAATTTGGCTTTGAAATACAACTCTTGACTACATTGCAGAAATGTACAGGAATAGCAAACAGGTTTTTCAGGACAGCACAATGACAAGGATGATTCTGTCATGTACACAGACACCAGATCTGCTTGTAGTTTTCATTCAGCAAGGATTAGAAAAAGTTAAAAACCAGGGTGCTCTGGGCAAAACCCACTGTTTCTCTGCTTTTGCTTGTTTTACTGCTCCCATCCCTGGTATTTCCAGGCCATGCTCCACAGCTGAGGGTGCTCACTGAGTGATTTGTTCTCATGTCCTGCACCAAAGCTGGGCACCCTGCCCCCCTGACATCCTGCATGCTGCATGCACTTGGCTGCCTGCTGCATAGTAGATCAGGGCAGGGTGAAAATGTGTGTATAAGGCATAAAAGTAAAAATGTGGGGAAGGAAACTTTTGATACAGTGGCAGCAAGGAATGAGAGCTTCTTTCCCACAGCTCCTGTTCTGTGCCTGTGCAGACCCAGGCAGTTCTGACACCAGTCCCCCTCCTGACTGAGCTGTCCCAAATCTGTGCTCTCAAAACCAAGGCTGGCAGCACCACTCAGTCATGCTGAGCTCGAGGGGGCATAAAGAAGCATCTTAAAGCTTCCACTGAGCACTTCAAGGAGCTGTTTAGATCTCTGCAACTGCACACGTTGACACGCATCAGCATAAGCACAAATCACACCAGTGTGCTTGCCTCTTAGAGAGCCAGAACTCAAGCAATAAGGCAGAAACCAGCAGCAAATCACGCAAGGAAAGGACAGCTTTCACCAAGGAGCAGCTGCGGGAGCTGGAAGCTGAATTTGCCCACCACAACTACTTGACAAGGCTCAGGAGATACGAGATCGCTGTGAACCTGGATCTCACCGAAAGACAAGTACTTCCCAAACCCTCCCCTGCTCCTTCTCCCTCCCCCACAACCTCCCCCTAATGCCAAAACCCAGATTTGTTACTCAAGGGTCTGCTTTTGCAATGGCACAGAGGTATTTTAAAACAAAGGCTCCACATTCTTTCAAACACCTTCATTACACATTTCTGTAAGTAGTTAATAATTTAATTATGTTTCTCTCAACTAAAGATAGACCTGGTAATAACTAGTCTCTACTGAGTTCTTGCTTACCACCATGCATTAGTGCATATTGACATATCAAGGTTTACATATGCAATATGGATATCACCTTAGACTTTGACTAACAGGAAATTATTAAAATGAATATTTGATACATGCATTCTTCCTGGGTCAGGTGGTATTTTGAGGTGGTAAGGAAAGACAATTATACAGAGTTTTGTGGAGACAAGTGTTTCTGTTCTCTCATTGTCATCTCAGTCCAGGTTTCCTTATCAAGGCTGCATGGACAGCAGAAGAATTGCATTATTATGTGAGGCAAATTAAAATTCCTGAAGCATTAGATTGGATGGCCTAGATATTAAAAATACATGAGAGTCATTGTGCTTTATTTGACAGATGAAGACAGATTCTAGGCAAAGCATGTATACCACCTTTGAGGGTTTCAGAGGAACATCTGTGTGGAACATTTTAGAAAGAATTGTTCCACTCTGTGTTAGAGAGATGGATTAGACAAACTCTGTTCACCTTTTCTTACAGAATTCCACAAATCATCTGCCTACACACATATGCATAGCTCTGCTTATACAGCTCAGGTTGAGGCAACAAGTAATTACTTTCTCTTTATCACCCAGGTCAAAGTATGGTTTCAAAACAGAAGGATGAAGTGGAAACGTGTTAAAGGTGGGCAAGCAGTGCCCCTACACGAACATGACACAGAGGATGTGGACTCTGCTGCCTCCCCCAGCTCTGAGTAGTCCCTGCAACAGTGGGAGAGGAGTTTGGAGAAAGTCATTGATTGGAATGTGGGTGCAACTGCTTAGAATCAGCTACACAATGAGATCACCCTGCCTGACAATCCTGTAGCCCATAGTCTCTAAAAGGTTCATGATGCTTGAGGTTACAGCGGCAATTAAAGAGCATGGGGGGAAAAAAGCCAAAGGAGAGCATGGTTTTGATTTTTGTCTCTCAAGCTGTCTTACTACCACAGATGTGTCTACAGAAAAAAAAAAAAAAAAACCAAAAAAAACAACAACAAACATTGAATGTAAAACAGGAATAATGTTGTCGAGACTCTCAAACATCCAGAGAATCCAGATTGTTAGTCAGCATATGCAGCTCTGTTCTCATCCAGGCTTCCCCTGGTCACACCTATTCAGTCTGCATTTGGACTTGACAATGCACATTTTCCCTGTGCCCTACTTAGAGAGAAATAAATACTTTGATAGTCACTGATTTTTCTTGCCAAATGAGTTAGACACCTGTATGAATAGACAATAAGATTACGAAATAAAATGTGAGACTTAAAATATATGTATACAGAAGTCTGCTCACCAGTTTCAGAAGAGATGGTTTTCACACTGACAGTCCAAGAAGGTCAATGCTTTGTTGATGGCAGCAATTTGCAGAGGGAGATTTTTTCCAAGCTTACTGTAAGTCCTGAAATTAAATTGCTAGATCTCAGTTTCAAATTTTTTTTCAAAGCAGTCATTACCAAATGTCCCAGCAGGCACCACAGATTGAACTCTCAACACAACAGCTAAAATGTCACTATTTTGGTTTCAAGTTTTCCAATAAACTGCCACAGCACCACCAGAAGTCTTAAGAACATTTAGGAACATTCCCACTTTAAATTATCCCCACTTTCAACTGAAAATTGTAGTGTATCAAATCATGACTTAGAAAAGCATAATGCCTGCTCCCATTTCTTATATATTTTTGTTTCATCTACTAATGCCATATTTTAAGCAGAATTTTACACTAGTGTACCACATTATGACCATTGAGAATACTGATACTGAAACTTTGGTTCAAATATTTCAAAGGTAACAATTATTTGCAGCTATAGCCTTTCACCTTACCCTGATGCATTGCTGTTGTTGTTGCATGTGAACTGTAGATATGCTGGGTATAAATTTGTATATCTGGATTATATGTTTATAAAGCTGTTAGTGGTGATTCCACTTGTAAAAGACTTCAAATTTGATAAATATCAACTTAAAAAAAAAAAACAAACAACAGGGATGCTGTATTCTTTTCAAAGAGCTTCTTACAGTATCTACTAAGAAAAAACATATATTACATTACTTTTCAACATTTCCAAACTCTGATTGATGGATTAAAAATATCAACAGTTTAAAGTAGGTATTTGTGCAAAACCAATTTAAAAGAATAATTATTTTTTAAAATAAATTATTTAAAACTAAAGAAGCCTGAGCACTTTGAGCAGCACTGAGGAAGTGAATTAGGCTGGTGTCTGGTTTCCCATACTGCACTACTTGCTTTTATCCACTTTTTCCAAAAACAACAGTTGCACAAAACAAAATGCCAACACTCCTCTGCCCTTGAAAAAAAAAAGAAAACAGCATCAGGGATGTCTCACACAGGACCTCTCCACAAACTTGAAGGCACAGCATGGATGTAAACCCATGTAAATTCTGTGACTATAATACGTACTAAATAATCAGTTATAACATCTAGGGGTGTGCATGTTTCTCTCTGAACTAGACCTAGCCCTGTCTCTTCAGATCTTTATGAAAGGAAAATTACCCTCAAATATCCACCTTGTGGTAGATGTTTAAATGCAAGTTGGTACTGACAGGGAGTTATGGTCAGATCCCAGTTACATCCGCAGTGAAAAGGGTGGACAATGACAGAGCACCATTATTTTGGTTAACAAACCTCATGTTAGAAACAGGTTCATGATCTCACTACTCAGCTGACATAAAACTAGGTGGCTAAAAAATTCCCTATGCACAGATGAGAAGAAGCTACAGTTTACTTTATCTTTAAGAACAGAAAATGTCTTTGGCTTTACTTCTTGAACCTTGGTGCCTTCTGATTAGACTTCTGACTGAACTCTTGGCCAAGACTAAAGAAAACTGTCTTTTGTGAAGAGCTCTGGTGCTCAGATCTACCTTCTTCTCCTGGGACACAAATCACCATGGAGCAGGAGTTCTTCTTTACTTCTGGCCTTGTAACCTCTTAAGCCATTTAACACTGTACATCTCCTCCTCTCCACTGTGGTCAAAAAGTTTGCAACCTGCAGGAGCAGCTTGTTTTGAGATGAAAACTTTTGGGCTCTTGGCTACTAACATAAACCAAAACCAGCTCCTCACCCAGATGAGAGGCTAATAAATCTTCCCTTTCAAGGAAGTGTCAATGGTAGCATAATGACTCCTAATTTACTCAAAAACTAATCAAAGGGATCTCGGCCTGTACCCATAATTACAGCTCCTAAGCAGCTCTTTCTATGAATTTTGATAAATAAGCTATGAGTCACCTGTGAGATCTTCTTGTGCTTAGGTAATTTCTTCATTTAACCATCTGCTCACTCTAAGATTTTAGTGTTTTGAGAAGGACCATTTCACTCCTGACATCAAAGCATTTGACCTCTGAACCTCTGGTGCCAAGAATCTCCCAGGGAAGGCCTGTGGCCTGGGAGCAAAGTCTTTGACCTGCAATTATTTTTCTCAGAAATGCACATCAGGCTGTATTCTCCTCACAGAAGAGAGGGAAGCGACCTGGGGATGTTTGGCAATGTTTTCCACGCTTTATTCTCAATAAATAATCTGAGCACACAGTTACCCCATGGCATCAGAGGAGTCTGGCAGGAATTCCCCAGGAAGCAGAGGCAAGCAGAGCAGTGAGACTTTCTGCCAGTGTAAACAGCCCACGGGGAATGGGGATATCTGTGTAAACATAAAAATATGTGCTGGAGCCCTTTATATCTGTGCTGCCTCTTCTAAATAGACCAAGAGAAGTGCTTTCCTTAGAGTCAGAGACTTTATGGACTCTTTATCTTTCTAGCCAGATGCCAGTGGAGCAGAAGCCCTGATTTGTTTTACAGGTTCTGTATCCCATGACTCCTCTCTTGTTAGTCCTCAGTTCCTCCAGGCCATTCCACAGCTTTAAGCCAGGGATTTTTCCAGTCAGTGGAGCTACTTAAACTCCAAAGATACCCAAGGCCAGTCCAATGTTGCCTTGAATGTGTCCACAACTTCTCTGGGCAACCTGTGCCAGGGCCTCACCACCCTCCCAGTAAAAAATGTCATAGACCTGCTGTGAATAAGGAACCAAACCCTCCAGTTCACACTGTCTGGGAAATAAGAGAGCCCTTTAGCAAACATTTCACAGCCAGAGATTTTGACTGGGACACATTCTACATAAGCAAAACCTACAAATCCTACTTCCTGTAGGATTCCCTATGCATGGACACAAGCACAAATCACACAACAAATCAGGGCATTTTACAGAACACACCATTTTTCAATTACCCCATTTTCTTCCCCCACCACTAGCAGTGCTCATATTAAGTTTCATCAGCCACTATCTCATATTTTGGATAATTCCCTTCCCTTGAGGAAAGTGCAGAGCCCCTCCAAGAAGTAAGTCTGTACTGGGCTCAGCCTACTGGATCCACACAGCTCCTCCAGGCAGATGGACAGGAAATCCACTTTCTTTCAGTGCTTCCAGCAGAAGGGCTTTGTCTGCCTGGAACTTGCCTGGTTTGGCTGCAAAATAACAAAATAACCTCAGGCTCAGGCTCTTGCCTTTCAGGCTGTATTTGTGAGTTATGGTGGGGCAGTTCCCCTCGGCTCTGGGTCCAGGTGTTGGCTCCCCATCCCCACCCTCCCCACACACAATGCCACATTGTTCCAGCTCCTGCATGCAGGAAGGATTTTCATACAGCACCAGACTCTTACACCACTCTTCCCTTCCTCTATACCATAATTGTTATTTTATTCTTTTAAATAACTCTTAGACAGGGATAAGCTTCCAGGGAGCTCCTCTGGGAGGAGATTGCAGAAGAGATAATGGGAGTGAGTAACAGAGAGCATGGTGACTTCATACCATGGAGCTTTGAGTCGTGTTTCTTTTTCCTTATTAAAGAAGAAAACATTTTTCCAAGCTTCCCTCAGTCCTGCTGCTTTGGAGCAGGAAACAAACCCGTGAATTGACGTGCTTTCTTACAGCCTTACATTTTTAGTTCAGTGAAAGTTTATTATGGTCCACACTCACACACAAGGTTAATTTCTCACCCAGAATGCCACGTGTGAAGTGTTTCCTACACCCAGGAATTTATCACCAGGCTACAGTTATGTTGATGGTTGTAAAGACACCCAAAAAAAAAGATTGTTTCTTCCTTTCAATACTCACCACAAACATCCTAAGTTTTATACTTCCATCTACTTTTATATTCACAGAATCACAGAATAATGAGGTTGGAAGAGACCTCTAAGATCATCAAGTACAACCTATGCCCTAAGACCTCAACTAGACCATAGCACCAAATGCCATGTCCAGTCTTTTTTTTAAACACATCCAGAGATGGTGATTCTACCACCTCCCTGGGAAGACAGTTTCAGTACTTTATTATTCTTTCAGTGAAAAATTTTTTCTTAATATCCAACCTATGTCTTCCTTGATGTAGCTTGAGACTGTGTCCTCTTGTTCTGTCAGTTGCTATATTTCTATATTTTATATAGAAATATAATATAGAATAATTATATGTAACATATATTATAATGTGTCCTGGTTTATCTAATATAAATATTATATCTAATATTTTATATTCTATATTTCTATATTTTGATGCTTATCTGTATACTTGCACTTCAACATTTCCCATTCTCTATTTTTTTTCTTACTTCCCACTCTCTAGTTCATAAGAGATGATCAAGAAAAGTGATTTAACTGTTGAGAATCTATGCAGTTTCCAATTAAAAAAAATCTATCAGATCTAATTTAATTGCTCCATCCCCTTTCCTTACCTGAGGAGGACAGACCCTGATCCCAAAGTCAGGGTATCTTACAAATCTGGACTGGAAGTTATTTTCCAATGAATAGAAGTATAACTCTCATAGTAATTATCCACAGGTTCTGTCTGAAGTTAGTTGAAAAGAACATTCTAGGGGAAAGCGTAGCTCAAGAAGCCAATCTTCATTGAAGCATACAAACAGCCAATACTCTATTCTCTGATTATTCCTAGAAATGGCACAAAGTGTAAAATGAGGCCTCTTACTCAGAAGTCCTGGCAGCATGGACTTGTGGCAGGCTACTTGCTGTCTTCAAGTCACCTATATTTAGCTGGATTGAGTTATAAACTTCTTTAAAGTATCCCAATAAAAAAACAAATCTAATAAAAAGAGGATAAAGTAACGAGGTGAGAAATTGTCTGTGTCAAGAAAACGTTTTTAGACACATCTCTCACTGATTTATTTGCAGGAGAAAACACAGACACAACTGGAATATGTTTCACATGACAAGACCTAAGGGTTCTTGTCTGCACTGAAGACGTGTTT